TTTGACCTTAGGGATGTTTTAACGGGGAACTGCAGTCCCAATTTCTGAAGACAGGTTGTTAGTCCCAGTAACAAAATAAATTAATGACGGCATCTCAAAATTTTACAGATTCTGAATAATGCACAAAATCGTGAACATTGTGAAAGCACTATATAGTTGCCATGTTTCTATGGGCGAGAACAAGAGGTCACACGAATTGCAATGTGAAGCGGCCCTTCATACTCACTAGTCACTGTAAGGACGAATGTAATGCGATGTACAAGTGAATAACTAATGCGCAGCAGACACATCACTGCAGAAATGTTCCAACATAATCTGCATTCAGAGTGAACAAGTAAGTTGTATTTGTCAGCCAAAACCATCTCGAACTTGAGAGCAGTATTTCTATTGGTTTTGTTGCCTCGTCGTGAATTGCAGAATATAGTGCTGCGTGTACCTGGATATTTAGTCTATTGTGTGATACATATCACAATTGGAGGTTTTACACGTTACTGTCCATATTACTTTCTTTGTGGTTTGAAATGCACTCATCAATGCTGATTTTTCTAACCTAGAAATATAAAAATAGCATTGCAGTTCTCTTAACTTCACCGTAGGAAGGACAGCCACCCTCTGTGGTCATGCAGGCAGAAATGATCCATTGACAAGAAACGTCATAGGCTGGAGCTATGCTAATAAATGATCACCTGAAGAAGGCTCCATAGCTGAAACTTTGTGTCTCTCTTCAGCATCAAATAAACCCTTACCTGTTCCTTTGCAGCCTATGCATGCTGATGCAGCTACCTACTGAACTAGACTAATAAATGTACTTTTCAAAAAAAAATAATCATAATACCTTTAGCCATTTTATGCACTTATACAGTATGTGTTAAGTTACTTTTTTGGTGCAGCAGTTAGTATAGATAACATAGGAGAATGTATATTATTTTAATGCTTTTATATTTGCATTTATTGTATTATGCAAAGCCTTCCGAGGTTCTTTTTTTCTTGCGTAATGATTCCGATGCAACCTTATGTAAGTGGAATATATTCAAAGTGCTGCAAGGTGCTCTTTGACAAGCTGTCACCCCTCTCCCCCACATTGGGTGAGCTCTGTGTGCGGCCAGTGCAGTACAGTGTGTGGATGGGGCTGTCTCAGTGAGCTCGAGTGTTAGTGTAGAGACAGGGACTGGGCAAGAGTCTGAAAGTTCTCCCTTCCAACCACTGAGAAAAACGCATACCTTACTGTAGACAGAACTTTTAGTTTAATTTTAACCCTAGGGGTATATGCAGAAAATGTAATTTTCCACATATTTCCCACACAAGCATGAGGAGAATATAAAAGCTCTACACAGGTAGTACTCCAGGAATTTAATGCAGGGACCCAGCGCTGTGAGCCAGCAATGCTGACCACTGCAGTACTGTTCCACCGTCGTTATCCTTTCACAAAGTTTAATTTTATAACCCATACAATCATTGGCTCTCCTTTCTGCTTGATTATGATTCATTATCATGAATGCAAAGATGACAGAAAAAAAACCATGCCAGGATGTGCACACTCTCTGTTGTGTTGAGCTGGTTTTGTCTCAGTATGTATCTGGTTGTGTATTGTGCAGTGCAGCCATTGTGTATTGTGCAGGGTAGGCTGTCTTAGATGCTCTTACATTGCTTCATCAAACTCGAAATCTCTAAATCACAGCGGCTTCATTTTTAGCGGATCAATCCTCAGAGCCTGATAACAAACAAGGTTTTTGTTATAACAAAGTCTTGCCTGGTTTCTGTTAAAAACACTTTTGTGTTATTGAACCTCAAATGAGTTTTGGCTTTTTTTTTCTTCCATGGCAGACAAATTATATTTTTTATAACTTGGAACAATCAAAACCCTGAATATTTGCTAGAGGCCTGGGAATAACAGTGCATTGTTGTAGTCCCTATAACTGCAGATTAACTGTGTATAGCAGATGGCACACTGATTATCCGAACCCTGTTCATTTGGCAGAGCTGTTAGAATATGATTGTTGTAGCAAACTACTGTGTGAGAAACAAATTTGCAGAGACACCAACAGTTACTCACATTTGCCCAAACTGTACATACTTTCAGTTCTAGTTTTTGAGCTGGAGTGAGACGACAGAGTGACTAATGCCGTTGATTGTGTTCACAGTTTTCATTTATAGAGCAGATTGCTGCTGTTCTAAGGAATCTCAACATTTGTCTTGAATGAATGTCAAGAAACAATATGGTATTGAAACACTCATTGCATTGTCTAGGTAACTCACCATTGATTTGATAAAGACATTTCTCTCTGCATTTGAGATAGTAACAGCAGCCTTATGTTGTCAAAACCCATCATGGTATGTAGGACAGTATCCCACAATATGTGGAATTGCAGTGTTTCAATAACTGTGTGTGAAACCATCCCACTAAAAGTAATACTCTCTGGTAAGTATGCCAGATTTAAAGTAATATTAAATGTATGTATTGCAGTGCTACTTTTTATGTAACATCCATTTTCATGGTGTCCACAGCATGGCTTGTGGTGCTAATACAGACACAGCACTCCTGTAGCTGATCCCAGACCTTTTTATATAGAACTTAAAATTCTCACCTGAGGAACCTGTTCACACTTCTACCTGTCACACAAGGTATTTATAGTCAGAATTGTACCAGCTTCATCTAGATACACTTAAGAGTTGGTGGATGAGAAGAGAAGCACACGTTTAGCTGAAAGAGCTCTTGGCACAGTGAGAATTGCACTGTGGATGAGTGGGGTGTCTATTTTTAATGAGTCCCTTCAGTGCGCCTGCAGAGTGACATTTCAGATCTGTTTTGTCTGCTAATTAGCAGGCCAGACTAAAACGAAGCAGGTGCTTCAGGTCCTTCCCACAGGTACATTGGCCTATCTAGACAGGAGAAAAGGCCTCTTGAGCATTATAACTGGAATTAAAGAAAACAAGATGTGGGGGGGTGTTTTTTTATAGTCATGTAAGAGTTATTTTTTTCTGAAGACCTTCCAATTCCGTTTAGGAATTAAAAGCTCATTGGATAAAAATTGTGGTGAAGGTCCAAACAGATCAAGACATCTGAAATAGAGGTGATCACTCCTCAAAGCAAGTGTTCTTTAGCTCTAGTGCCCCAATGTCTATTAGCATGCTTAGATCATAGATCTGAAGATCCACACTTCAAATCTGGTTGCATTATATTTGAAATGATCAATAAACAAGTGAATGTCTTTGTGTGTTGGCAATGGCTCTTGATTAAGAGAAATGGCACTGTCTTTTCACAGATAGCACCAGTTTTAAACAAGCAGTTTGGTTGACACAAAACCTAACACAAAAGAGAAGACACAAAAAGGTAACAGGGGCGTAAAGCAAGGTGACAAACAGAAGGAGACTGTTTGGCCCATTTTACTCTTATGGTAGTTAGTGGATGGAATTCGTCCAACATCTTGTTGAAAGGGTCCAGGGTATTGGGTTCTACACCATGACCAGGTGGCTTGTTCCATACTCCACATTCCTTTGGGTAAAGAAATGCCTCCTGTTCTCCGTTTTAAATGGACCTCCACATGGTTTCACTTGTCTTCTGGTTTGCGTTTCACTGTTGATTCTGAAGAAATCTGCAGGGTTAATTTTGACAGTGACTTTAAGGATTTGGAATACTTTTCATGTCCCCTCTCAATCTTCTTTGCTCAAGAGAAAAGCAGACATGTAGCAGCTGATCCTTGTGTGTCTTGACATTATACGCAATCAGTAGACCGATACTTGTACAATAGATAGAGAAAACAAATATATAAACTGTAAATTTCCTCTTACTGGACATGCATATGTTTCTGTGCCAAGACTCTGCACATGAATGACTGAATAAGATTTTAAACATGAAGTAATTTTTACATGTCATTTTTGTTTATTCTCCTTTGAAACATTTATGGGGATAGTATTTGAGATGGGCTAGCTCTGAGCGGTTTTTACTTCGATTGTTTGCTTCTCTTGTGAATCATCCCTTTTCTTTGTGTGTGTCTTTACCTGGCTTATATTAATCTTTTCTCTTAAGCAGTGGGCCAGCTTCCCCATTTCTTTTCTGAACCTGTGATCATATGGACTTTGAGCAATTTGGCTGGAGTTGGCACGGTTTGTCAGTCGGGTTTGGGGGAAACCCAGGACTCCATGTTGTGGGGTGTTTGGGTTAGGATTGAAGAGTGGATACAGAATGTCAGAACAGGCTTTCATGGTGCCCGCTGGCTTTGACAGCAACCAGATTGATTTACCTCCCTTTTCAGAGAACATTAGCTTTGCATTAGAAAAAGAGTTGCTAGTTTGATAACCTTTTGAAAGATTTACTCAGTAGTTTGTTCACTATGTTGCTGACTACACGTTGAAATAAAACTTAGTGGACCCCTGAAGAAGTGGTTTAGCGATGAATTACAAGAAAATGTTTTATGTTAAAGAGTTTGATTAATATTAAACCTCTCTGGCCTTTTTTATAATCTTTTATTTGCAGTGGCTTTGCAGTTTAATATTATATTACGGACCAGACACCTTTCTAACCATTCCCTGTGAGCTGTTTATTTTTCCAAAGGGCACCTTAAATCAAATTCCAATGAATACAAGGCATCGTGGACCATTAGTAGAATTACCTGCTTAATTAATTCACAGGGTAAAAGTATTCCTAGTCGTAAAAAATGATCTATGGTGACCAATATAAAAACTCCTTATTGGGAGTTTTTCCCAATCTTAAAGATCCCTGATTTCCAGTTTGTCTGACAGCTGGTGAATATATAATTCTTGGTCAGAGAATATGGTGGTGTTATAAGAATACTCCTTTTTAATTTAGCAGGTTGCCACTTGATTTTGAACCAGGTTGCCAAGTTCCACTCCCTGCCACAGAAAGTTTTGCTGCCTGTTGTTTTTTTGTGAATGTGTTTATACATCATTCAGAACATAAGGGGCGTTGAGCTGGCATTTCACAGTGGCCACCAAAGCCTCTGTCCTTCTCTCTGAAAGAAGACTGTTGCTTCTCATTGCAGATGACATTGGCAGCAGCAGGCATCAGCTACCCCTGCCACCACCTGATTGTGTGTCGGAGGTCCTCTCCCACCAACACTAGGGAGCAGTCTGAAGAGGTGAGCCAGGCACTCCTATCACTCCCATGGTGCTCTTGTCCACTGTACACACTGTGTGCACTTCAAGAGACCATGATTTATGGGACGTTTTAAAATGATGCTGTTATTTTTATATATTCCACCCAAGGCATAAAATAAAAATGAAGTGGTGTCATACTATTTCTCTTATATTCCTTGAATCCAGGTGTCACAGCAAAATATTTTTATGGTCACAAAGATATACTCGACAAGTAGTCAATGACAACAGTCAGTGCTTAGAGTGTCAATTGTGTAGTAAGCTGGTCATTGTTGACAAGTCTAACCTCTCATTAGTAAGTAGTTTGGAGTCTTTCTGAGATTATCTTATATCTGGAAGCTTATGATTCCAAGTGAAATTTTTTTAGAGAGCCATGAATCCTCTTTTAAACAGTGGATACGGACTCCTGTGTGGGTGTAAGTTCATATAGTCACCATAGTCTTTTAAAAACAACAGTAATATTCTTATACAGAATGCAAATGAAAAATTAATGTATTTTTATGTATGTAAACACATGCATATCAACCTAGTCATTATTACATATGTTTTTGTAAAGAACACTGATTATGAGAAGACTAACATGAAGAAATTAGTTAATTTTTTTACAGGACTTTCCCACTGGTTTCCCACTGAACCACCCTGTGGTTCAGACATAGTTTTTTTATTTTACTGGTCAGCCATTAATATTTCGCTTTTCATAGCCTCAAGACTCAAGATTGTTTATCTGTACGCTTTATTCTAGCTTTGGGTTGATCAGGTACTTAGGAGTAATGCAGAGCTTTTTCCAAAATGACTATCAGGAATCAAGTCTATTGATATTTCTTGGGGAAAAAATTGGAAAAATCAGTATTGCATTGCTAAAGCTTTCTCCTGAGGAGAAAGTGAACTGGCAGTGTTTGAATTTGACTTCGTAATTAGCAGTACATTACATCACCACAAGGACCCAATTACCAGTATTTGGTTTGCCTTTGGCTGTACTGTTAATAACATAAAAAGCAGGCCTTTCGATCCTTCTCATTCATTGTTAAAAGCAGATAATTGATCCAAGGAACTCATCCAGGTGATTCTTCAAAGCTGGCAACCTGTCCCTGACATCCACCACCCTTTTTGCAAAGAACTGCTTTCTGTTTTCAGTCTTGCATGCACTACCTCCTAATTTCCTACATGACGAACATGGTGGGGTGCAGGAAACTACAGCTTTTCCTTTGTTGGAAGGGTTGCATTGCCTTATGCCAGAAGCTCCCTCCTCCCTCTCCTGACATGGCGGAAGGAAAGAGCCTCCAAGTCTGCCTAACATCTTTCTGTGCTTTCGAACAGTGTACAGATGTTCACATGGTGAGTGACAGCGAGGGGGATGATTTTGAAGATGCCTCAGAATTTGGAGTGGATGAAGCTGAGATGTTTGGGATGGGGACTTCGAGTTGTCGGAAATCTCCCATGAGTAAGTGCTCTGTCTATAGTAAGGGATTATGGGAAAGACACCAGTGGTGTCGTTGTGTGTTGTCTCATTTTCTATGCGACTTGTTTTTTTCATTTTGCCTCATCTGATGTTCTTTTGCATGGCCAAGGATATAAATTACTAACAAAGTACAGGTAGTGGGGAAAAACATTAAATTTGCTGATGTTTCATGAGCAGCAATGTCTAAGGTTATGTCAGTATGGACCTAGAAGGGAAAACTATCTTCTGCACAGGGCAACAGTGGGCAGAAGCTCATACTCCAGGATTCTGAATTCAAAATTCAAGACAAAACTGGTGAGCACCTGCAGATCAGTTAACTGCTCATTTTAACCTAGGGCACAAGCAACTGGTTTAATCAAAACTGGTACAGATCAATAGTTGGCTTGCAGTGCATGATTGCGAACTGTGAAGGGTTCTCGTGGTTCCATGATATATTGGAATGCATTTTCCTGGCAAGGTGTGTGTGCAGTCACTCTCTCAGAAAGCACACTCAATCCTAATCGATATTTAAGGGTAATGAGTGATCATCTTAACTCCATATTGCAGCATTTATTTTCAGCATGGAAGGGTTGCATCCAGTATGACTGCCACCATCCACGTGTGGTCACCCAGTGGTTTGATGCGCATCACACAGACATTATGTCACTAGATCTGAACCCAATTGAACATTTATTGGTTCTTCTGGAGAACCACCTGAGACAGTTTTCCACCTCCATAATCCAGGAGTGAGTTGATAATTAATATTAATTGCTTACACTTAACAGTGTAATCTGTAAGTATTTGGACACTGACACAATTTTTGTTGTTTTGGCTGTACTCCGGCAGATTTGAAATGCAACAATGGCTATGAAGTTAAAGTGCAGAATGTCAGCGTTAATTCAAGGGTATTTACGTCTATATTGGGTGAACCATATAGGAAACAGCCCTTTTAATACATAATCCTCCCATTTGAGGGACAGGCACACACCTGCTTAGCTTCAGTGGGTTGCCAGTTGTGATTTGCAGGGTGATATACCTGCTGGCTTTGATGGACCTTTTCATTGAATAATGGTGCGATATTCTTGCTGCAGAATTCCAGACACTGGTAGACTGTGAGCTTTACATTGGGTTTCCAATTTTTGTCTACTTCTTGTAGTAGCTCAACAGAATACTTGCTGCTTGTTTTTATATTTTGCCATATACTTTACGTAAATCCTGTTCTCACCATCATGTCTCTCCCTAATCTGTATTTATGTGAGATTAAGGAAGGTAAGTATCCACTTATCTTAATATTTAATCACACCAAAAACTCTTCATCCTTACATCAACAGAAACATTCAGGCAGTTCATGTATAACTGCATTTTTTTTTCATCTACTCTGTTACTATCTTCAGTAGCTATGCCTATGTGTTACTTGAAACATGACTTAACTGTGTTCTACTTAAGAAAGGCTCTGTTGGATAGATTTCCTGATGTTGATAAAGTACATTCAGTATTACTGCAGTTCATATGCCTATTAAAAAAAATAGTCACGTCTGTGTTAGTCTCAAACAGAAAGAATTGCTGTACTACTTGCAGGGCGTAAAACACGAAAACACTTCAAAGCTTTACTGAGATCACTTTTACATTTGGGATAAATCTCTTATGTTTGAGAGCAATATCCTCTGCCTGCTTCTAACCAATGTATTCTCCAGGTTTCTTTTCTTCTGTCAATTTGAAGAAGTCTGATGTGGGATTGTTTTGGGTTTATTGAGTTATTGCTTCTTTAGGTTCCTGCCTAACAGCAACTCACTTGAAGCGTGTAGTTAAGCCATGCTGTGGAATTGTAAACCTTCACCTGTTCGAATTTTAATTCCTCCTCTGTTTCAGTGCCAGAAAATGCTGAGAGTGAAGGAGATGCCTTACTGCAGTTTACTGCTGAATTTTCAACAAGGTGAGCTGACAGAATTTCAGGGAACAGATCATTGAAGAGCTCTTTTAATATTTATTTGGCTTCATGTACAGATGAGGTTAGAGTGGGGAGCTGTATGTACATGTATGTCCACATGCAAGCTGTAAAGGAAAAAAGCGGAAAATTCCACAATTAAAAAAGAAAAAGAAGGATGAAAAACCACACCATTTTGTCTTTTTACTTTTCTGGTATGGAATTTATTTTGCAGAATTTTTTTGCTTGTTAATTGAATGTACAGGTGTTTAATACTGTACATTTTAGGAATATAAAAAATACCCAGTTTTTCTTCTGTTTACTGTAGAGAGTAGTCATTGTGAGTAAAATGGTCTCTGGAAAATAAATAATAAGAGAAACGGGTCATTTATAAAAAAAATCCTGGGATTTAGACAACTGTAGACGTGCTATAATGGATAGAATTAAATATATAAGTAAAAAAATTTTGTACAGCTACGAAATGGTAACTGAAAGCTGGAATTGTTGTTGCATATATCATACTACAGTGCCCTCCAGAAGTATTAGAGTTCCAGAGAAGACTTTACTGGGATTTTCATTGTCAACTCAAATAATATTATTTTCTCGTGAAAAACATGACTGAGAAGTACAACTCTGAAGTATTTTACTTTTTAATAATGTTGTTCAGTTTTATCCTTGTTTTTAGTTAAACCAACTGATAGTGTTGATCCCCATTATTTTGAAACGCCAAAAGTACTCAGACAGTTGGCTAGCAGGTGTCTCTCTTTGGTTAGGTGTTTGTTTTTGATGGATAACTATGCTCATGAAAGAGCTCTGAACATGCCGTCAGCCTGTATGGCTTTGACGTTGTAGTCGAAATGAAAACCAAAGACACTTCTGTTCATAAACAGCAGGTAATTTTTAAGCTTAAAGAAAAGAAACGTATTTAGAACCATAGCCCAGAGACTGGACATACCAGTTGAATAAAATTAAGAAGTAAGAAACTACAGGTGTAATTATCAATGAGCCCTGACAGAGTCTGTCAAGAATAACATCCGCATTTCGTAACAGAAAAATTATCTGAGCTATCAAGGAAAATGTTAAAACCAAATGTCAGTGAAATTGAGTCCAGGGGTAAAGATATCAAAATCCACATTTCGTAGAACCTGGGGACTTGAGAATCTATGCTGCAAGATGTAAACCTCTCATCAACACCATTAACAGTAAACTCAGTTTACTCAGTTAATAGTAAACGGAGGTTAGAATTGGCTTGGAAGTGCAAAGATCAACCAGGGTGGCTTTCAGATAGTTTTGGAACTAGTAAATTTAACTTATTGACAATGTCACTAAAGATTTCAGCAAAATGAACAAAACACTTATATATAGGGTTGTGCTTCACTGTGCAGCATAAAATGGCTGGTGCAAGAATGGCGAAAAAAAGTGTTTAATCTTCGGCCAATTGAAAGACATTTTACGCGAAGAAGAAAATAACTGAAGAATACCCCAAGAACAGGCAAGACGTGATGGCAGGAAAGACTTGGCAACACATCACAAATGATTATACAAAAAGTCTTTTGAGCTCAGTAGATTTCATACAGTTGTTGCTTCAAAAGGGATGTGTAAATACTGACTTACTCACTTTGAAGTTGCCTTAATATTGCAAAGTACTTGTGATCACTTTGTTTACTTATGTTCACGGATATGCATGAAATTATCTAATAAACCTACGGTACTTATTCATGTTAATCTTATTACACTAATACAAATTGCTTGAACATAAAGCAAAAATAACCGTTTTGACTTGCAATGCGTTTGGAGGACAATGCATGTTAAAGATTTTCTATTGGAATGAGAAGGTCAGACTTGAACAGTTCGCTTTCCCTTGGTAGTGAGATGATGGTGGAAAGCTAATTAATTAAAATGTCTTCATATTATTTTAGATGCAGTACCATGAGCATTTTGTTTCTAGTTGTTTTTTTTCCCCCATAAGAAAACAAATTTAAGTCTTCAGTCATCATTTACCTAAATTCATTACAAATGGATTTTTCATTAAGTTCTGATTTCTGATGCTTTTCATTTTTTGTCAGATGTAACCATTAAATGTTCTTTGCTTTGAACAGCTACAGAATACACAGACGTAGTGGTGTGTTTGATTAACTTTGTTAATGAAGCAGCTTGTTTAGTGTGCTGATACCTGAGCCAGTCTGCACTGATGCCTCTCTAACCTATGGCGCATGTCCTTTTTCGTGGCTTCATGCAAGTGCTGACAGACTTGCCCTGTGTTTGTGTTGAAGATATGGCGACTGTCACCCGGTGTTCTTCATCGGCTCGCTGGAGGCGGCATTTCAGGAGGCCTTCTATGGGAAAGCCAGAGATGTGAGTATGTCCTCTAGGCGACCGTGCTGACAATGGAGGCGTCGGATACACTGAGGGCGCTGGAGAATGTCAGCTTGCGTCACATGTGCATGTTTACTGACTCTGGCCAGTAAACCAGGCTTTATTACCAAACTGCTTCAAATCCTGCACTGTAAGGTCTGTGTCTTTCTTTGTATGACTGTCCCTTTGCGTCACAGCTAACATTATACATAGCAAAGGTCTTATGTAAAATGACCTTACTTTGCTCGACAGGAAAAGCTCATTGCTGCTTAGTTCATGACAGCTGTTAGTGCCTCTCTTTGTCACTCATTCCCTTTCTGTTTAGTGCAAGAATTTTAGAGAACAAGAGAACAAGGTACCGTTCCTGGTACCTTATATTGTCTTGTTTTCAAGATGTTTATTAGTTTTTGTCACCATAATTACTCATGAAAGTCTTGGAATACTAGCTGACAACCAGGGTGTTGTGTATAGGTGGGATTGTATATCAGCACTGTTCATTTGTCAAGTTTTTCATGTTGTAATGAAGAGAAGGCCTATGCAAACTCTTTCTTTATGAAGGACATGGTGAGGTTCAAGAGCAGGCTGAATAAGGCTCTTGCATACAATTGCCTGTATTTGACAGTCCACAAAACATACTAAAATCTTTCCACAGATTGCTGTGAAGCACAGAACACAGAATGTTCTTGTATACACTATCTTGTATCCATCAATTGGATACACTTGTATCCATCTACTGAAGCAGAGATTGAATCTACCTGTGTGCTCAGGATTGAGCAACAAGAAAATTTACCATCTGCACCACTTTAGTCATCACATTAATAAGATCAGAATTATGAACCATAGCATAAATATTTTCCTTTTGAATGATACAATGAACATTTACAATGGGGTGATTACTGTGATCTGCAATAACCTTTACAAATCCCTTGTTTTCTGCAGTTTTTCAGCAGTTTTCCAGTCACTGGGGAAGAAAATTATGTTTGTTAATGATTTGAAAGACAGAGGAACTGAACTCTTTTCTATATCTTCTGCAGTTGTTGTCCCTTGAATAGGCTTTAATCAGCTTAGCTCTTATAGAATATATAGTGAGTCCCTGTATCTATCATGAGCTGCTAACCACAGTACATCATTTATATCCACAAACCATTTTTGCTTTTAATTGTTGCATTTGTTAACGTTTTCTGCCATTTCGCTTTTGCATCCCTCCGCTGATAGAGCAGACAGAGGTAAATCTTTAATTCTGGAGAATTTTATTGGACAAACCATCAAACATAACATCTGATCTCATCTGAACTGAGAAGATACTCTTTTAATATATTTCGCGTCTGTTAATGGCTTTCCATGTTTTGGAACAGATTGTGTGAGGTGGTAATTACCCTCTTTAGTTTGATTTATACTGACAGTAGTGAGTAAAGGCACTGCTTTGATTTCTATACCTCACTGAAGCCTGCTGGATTGACTCAGCCTGTCCACCTCATCTTTGAAGTGTTTCTTGTGCTTTGTCATTTGAGGTGCAACTAAGAACACCCTCACAGCACAGTGCACAAATATCACAGTCTTTATGTTGAACAACTTCCTGTTTGTCTCTTCAAGAGGGTTGAAATGAGCAAACCTCTAACTTTGCTTTCTTAGGATTTGACATTTTGTCCAAAGTGACTCCACTCAGCTGTGACAAATGTGATCAGTGTCATTGCGATATTTCCTTTCTACATCAATTTACTGTATTGGTTAACCCCCTTCATTGCTTTGACTTCCTTTAAATAGCATCATTTAGAGACTGTCAAGGTAGTTAAGCATAGTTCTTTTTTTCAAATTCTTCTTGGCTTATTATACTTTCATAGCTCGTTGCTCAAAATTAGTCTGAGTGCCACTCATGGCACACGTGCCTTATACAGTATACATCTATTGCATAGAGTACAGCTACAGCTGTAGAGTACTATGACCTGTTTGATTAGTTACTCTCCAGCACAACATCGAGAATATCATTAATTTCTCGTCAGCTCTGTAGTGTAAGGACAGCAGCCACAGCAAGACTCCATCCACTTTCAGTATGTGAAAATGCTCTGTGTTTTGTTGCCTAGGTAATAAAGTAATCGTGTTTGGTAATTCAGTACAATGTTGTTGTGCCATCTGCACCAGTGCAACAAGGTTATTCTGCTATTGGAGGTCATACCAGCACTAACTCTTCCCCGGCTTCGTACACACTTACGCTAACAGCATGTGACATGATAGAGTACTGTTCACTCAAATAATAGTAATCGTGTGATCAGTCCACACACAACGATTACTTGTATTTTCTTATTACTTTTGTCTTTGGAGCCTCTTAGGGGTTATATCAGATTCCACCCCTCAAAGACTGGTGAGATGTTTGGTGTTTCACTGACTCATTCAGTGCTTTAAGAAATTGATAGCTTTTCTTACCTTGATGTCATTGAGTAGGGATTTATTTTGTCTGATAATGTGCTTTTGGATCTTGCGTCTATCCATTGTGTAAAACCTGGAAGGATTTCTAAATGTGCTCAAATTACTCATGTACTGTAATTAATGAAGCAAAACCTAAAAGATCTCCCTCCCCCAAAACTGTGTAAGTTCAGTTATTCTTCTATTAGCACCATATTGCATTTTAAAATCACTTCTTAACTTATATTTTTAGTTTTTTTTCCCCTTCCTTATAAGGCCCCTTGTATCAATTGACAGCTTGTGGGGATTACAATCTTATTAGAACAAGAAGATGCTGCAAGATGTTTGGAGAGTTGCAAAACCGCGTGCAAAGATGCTCCAGCCACTGCCTGTCTCCCAGCAGGGTTTCTCACTCCTCAGCAGACTGAATATGGTGTTATTTTGATGTTTTTCGGTACAAGACAAGCCTTTAAAATGTGTTAGACTTGGAGGAAAGAAGGCTGTGGAAAAAAAAAGAGTGAAAATAAGAGTGATTGGCAGCTGACCTTTTCTTCCTCATGGTGCAGAAAAGAGGCTGGAAAAGCCACAGCTGATTGTTGTGAAGTGGAGATTGAGTATAACAGTAAATAACCCCACACCCCTCCCTCTGCTGCTGCCACCACCTCTTGAAAAATTGGTCTAAATCTCCCCTCTGTCAACCCCGATGCTCATTAAGTGTTTATTGGAATGAGCAGATTCCGGAGGGATTTTCGGAGGCTCTCTCAAAGGCTGTCCGGCTAATCACTAAGTAAAACACTACATTTGATGAAGTGTTTCTGGAGCACAGTCGCTCAATCCCCCTTAATGAAAATGCTCAAGACTGTTGAGCCAGGAGATCAGTGCGGTCCTCAGACAGGCCACCCATCCCTGCTCCAGCCTTTTGAAGTCCCTTTAACGTTTTGATTAATCAGGTAACCCCTCTCTCTATCCGTGGTACTCAGTGTTTCACAAGGAGGCACATCAAAATTCATTACTGGACTGTGGATTGCTAGTTTTTTTTTCTTCCTCCGCCACCCCCCTGTGCTTTCTCTACAGCTGCTCCAGCATTGGAGGCCTCTGGTCCAGTGAAAGGTCTTTACACTGTCCTCCCTGGCCTCTTCTCTGACACCAGAGGACTAAAGCAACAGTTCAGAGGGTTTTTTTTTTTCATTTTTAAAGCGCATCAGCAAACGCGCGCAACAAAACAAAGAACAAGTTATTGCATACTTAAAAAAAGGTGCTAGCCAGACTCGGTTTTAAGATGAATAGTATGTTGTTACAGGTGCAGAGTTTAATCAAATATTTTACAAAAGAGAAGCAGAGGTGAAGGCAGGTTGAACAGGAGTTTGTCCATTTGAATCCTTATTGTTTTATTTCTTGGATTTAATCAAAATCAATCTACTGCATTCTAATTTGTGGTGGTAATTTACAGGAGGGAGGTGATGTCCTGTCTGGAGGTTGAATTGACCGTTTTGTTTTACAGACAAAACTATTAATCATCATTCATACCTTTAGTGTTGTGTATTTGCTTGAATTTTTATTCTTTTACATCTAGAAAAAAAAGTCAGAAACCCTAATGATTTCCTGAAATCACGTTACCCCCCCGTTGCTCTCAGGAATCTCGGGTTTTAGCTTGTGCTGTGGCTCAAGCTTTCTTCCACAGTCCTTCTCTGTGTAATTGGTATATTTTAATCTTTCCTGGATTATCATGGTCTGATACCCACGCATATTCCTGGTGCTGCATTTAAAGCACGCAGTGCCAGTTTACCTCTGACTCCTGCATTCTGCTCATTATTTTCTCCTGCAGTCTTGGAGGTAACGTGACTTATTGCAGAAATGTCGTTAGTCAGTGTCTCTGGGATTACCATCATCAAGCGATAATATTAAAAACATAATTACTGTTTAGTAGCCTCTTCACATCAGATGTTCAAATAGAATCTTTGTACTTCACACTTCATTTAAAATGGTCAAATTTGAATCTCCTTGAAAATATCAAAAATACATTTTTAAATGTTGAAGGATCAGCTTTTTTGGTGATACATTAGATTTCCTGAATTGAACAGGTTCAGAAGAGTAAATTTCTGTCAAGCATATTTAGAAATTAATAGTTCAGCTGGGTAGCTGTGTCAGCATGCGTAGTCTGCAAAGGAACAAGTATTAGGTATTATTCCATGCTGAAAAGAGAAGAGAGAAAAGGTAATGTTTTGGCTGTGGAGCCTTCTTCAGGTGTGAGCAGAAATTAAGAAATTAATGTAGTAATTTCCTATATTCTTATTGCTATAGTAATTATTATTAAATCTTAAGTATCACCTATATTGAAAGACTTTATATAAATCATTTTGAACATTCAGTCAATTCATATAATGATATAAGGTCTAATATCAGAGATCGTTTTAGATCATTCAAAATATTTATCCTGCTGTTGGACCATCTAACAATAGTAACATTCAGAGATCAATAGCTAAAGTACATTATTGCTGCATGATCTGTCCTTCATCTCTTTACCTATCCATTTGTAAAGCAAAGTTGGCTTTGCTTGTGTATTATTTTTTCTCTCAATAAAAAGCGCGCCTCACTGCACTCAGGATTATCTTGAATGCCCAATAAAAGTAAAGCTTATTTTTTTATTACAAATACTTTCAAGGGTGGCTAGTTTTTGGAGTCATTAAACAAAGAATGGATCGTTCAATGATTAAATCTGCCATCTGCTGAACACAACTCCCCTGCTCACTCGCTGTCATAGTTTGCTGTAATCTGATCCGTTTTCATTTTAAAGTATTTACTCTGTTTTAGGCCTGTGTTTGAATGCATTTTCATGTTTCCATGTTGCGTGTTTTTAAATTGCCTGCAGTACACGTGAATTAAATAATCTTGTAATGTGAAGTAGACAGGTATCACAAATGTGGTATATACTAGCCCGTATCCAGAAAAGACAGGAATATGTCATGAACATTTTATTACCCAGAGTCGTGGCAGCATCTAAAACCATCTTTATGCCATTGTAAGATTTGCTAGTATGTACTGTATATATGGGACTGCAGACCACTATAGATGCAAATCAGGTTACAGCGTTTTACCACAAGTTGAACACCTTTGCATGAAAGTGCATGCTTGAGTTACAAATAATTATATGTTCAGAGCTGACAAAATATGCTGGATGTTAACACCTTTTACAGTTTTTTTTGGCCAACTGTTACGTATTTCACCAAAGAAAGATGAGATGCAGAAGGCCTGTGAAATGAGCAAGTAACCAGCAGTTTTAAGTAAGCCTGTGGACTCCAGGACACATAATAAATCACATATTCATGACACTGAATTTTTGTTCCCAGAAATGTAGTGGGGTTCACATGTGCCGCCTGTCAAAATCATTATTTTTATTTAAATAGCTTCCAGGGCATTTTCAGTTTTTCTGTTATCAACCTTTAGGTTTCTTTTAATTTTAGTAGTTATTTAAATAAGGTTCCAGGTTCCAGCTTTGTTGTGTATTTTAGTGGTGTGAGTAAGATTATCTGAAGATCCAAGCAATGTAATTAAAAACTAAAAAAAGAGTAGGCTGACTTTTAAAGCAAGTAAAGAAGTAAGGGATTAGTGCAAGATTGCTTCTTGAAAAATGTATTTCTGTTATTAGCATATGGAAATAATTGCAACATTGCAGACAAAGTATTGCTCCGTTTGTAAGCTTTGAATCACAGTAAATTAAGATTTTCACATTTGTGGTGAGAGGTCTTAAAGGATTTATCAGTATAATTTCAATTAAAGTCTGTTCTGCCTGAAGTTTAGCATGGAGAGCTGCAGTATTTTTTTTAAACAAAATTGTGATTTAAGAAGGTTACTTTTAAAGGAGAAATGTTCTTTTTTCCTACAGTTCTACAGAATCTTGGGTGAGCACATTTCATGAGAGAACTGAAAAACGTACATGCTTATAATGTTTTTTTCTGTATGGAAGGAAATGTACATATCTATATCTGCTATCTACTGGCATTATTATAAGAATGGCAATAGTTAAAGTAGAAAAATAATGCTACTCTGTGCAGTGCTTTAACAAGGGTTTTCAAATGTGCTGTTGTCAAAATATTTAAAAACACAATACAAAATGCACATTTTGCTGACAGGCATTCTGCTGTCTTTATAATGAAGTTTAAAAATGACACTGTAAATCTGTAAAAACATTTTGCTGCTTGGTAACACAGTCTCCTTCTGAAAGTCTCAGTTATTCATATTCTTACTAAATCCCACATAGTCTGTAGCAGACAGCTGAGTTCAGAACTGGTATTTTGTACATTTCAAAAACAATTAAAAGACTAACAGAGCAAAGCCACATCCATGAATGTATGAGATTTTGGAAATGTGTTGTACTCTTACATTTTTTCTCAGAGTACAAGGATTTGGAGAGAATGAAATAAGAAGTGTTTGCAAACAGTCGAGAGGAGAGTTGTACATTTCAAAGCTTCATGAACTCTTGGTATTTACTATATCTTTATAGAGCTGGTTGAAGATGCTGATTGTAAAGGCCCTTTAACTGCAACAGCTGCTCTGTACCAGATTCGGAAGATGAGCTGAAAGCAAACTAAATGGCTTCATTCAAAATCTTGTTCTTTGGTGGAGGGTGTTAATCCTAATCAAAGATGTTAGTAGTAATGCCAAAATTTTTCATATGATCTTAATTACAGTTTTGAAACAATCCTTTCTCTTCTGCAATTGTATATTAAAAGATTATTTGAATTTGCTTTTTGGAAAACATAAAATAAGAATCCTTTCAGCTTCTTCCAGAAGTTACTTAACGCAGTGCACACTATATCAGCCAGAATGTACTTAATCACAACACCTCCCTTTACATTTCGCTGTAATGTTCTCATAAATGAGACACTTGGAATAATTAATGGACTAACCCTGCTCAAATTGTCTGATGAGTTCTCTCATGAGATAGTATTTAGGCATGATAGCCTGGAATCAGATTAACTCTGCAGCTTCTTTCACTCTTTTTCTTCTGTGTGCTTTCAGAACACAGAATTGACATTACTGTAGTGTTCTTAAATTCTGGGGTCATTTAGGAAGACGATGTTCATTTCTAGTCCCAGAAAGTTTCACTTTCGTTTTTTGTCTTCTGGTGTTAGTAAAACTGAGAACTGAGTGAATATATTAGTGTAAACTTGTACTTTTTTCTAAGTCTATTTTTAATGTGTAATCACTGCTGAATATCCTGCCTCCTGAAAAGCTGATTGTATGGATTCAGAAACTGCAGTCACATAGAACATTGTGGAATCTCCCAGGGGGCACCATGCTTACTGCCAGCTGGGGAAATAGGTGTTCATCTGGCTTTCTTATAGCTTTTGGAATTCAGTCCTGGTGATGAACAGGAATAATGAAGAAACTGAATGATGTACTGCTCTAAAAAACTACTGTTTCAAGTTCATAATATCATTTTAACCTCTTTTCCTTTCTTGAGGAGACAGCATACTTACATTGCTTCTGTAGCACTTGAATGAGATGTTTTTTAAATGATTTCTACCCAGTTAAGAAATCAATTTTCTAGCTCAGGAGCTAGGACATTGAAACCTGTTTCTTCCAGACTCGTCTGAAGTCACAGCCAGTCGTTCCCTTGTTTTACAAAATGCAAATATGAGAACAGCTCTGCGCCAATGTGAAAGATACACAAGCAGGATCACCTATCTTTCAGAAAAACTGACTTTACTCTGGTGAAACCCCTCTTGGTGTCTCTCACTCCTTGCTATCCCAGAAGCTTCCAATTCTTAACTTGTTTTTTAAAAGGCCACAGAAAAGCCTAATCTAAGAAAATGCAGATGTACAATGACAATAAGTTCAAAGACTCTTTTGGGAAGAAGACAAAAACCACAAAACAAAACACACCCTTTTGCCAGTTTTCAAACTGAGTGCTAAAGGAATCTGTAGAGATGTGGGTTTTGAGGTGGGGCGGGGGAGCACTATTGTTGACAGGCTGGCTTCCCATACTGGGCAAAGGTTTTTGGAAACGCAGAATGGGTCAAAGTGGCTTCTCTACTAACTAAACACTTTCCAAAAGTTTCCATGTGGTGCATGAGGAATAATGAAGTCATCTGTGTGTGTGTGTGCGTCGTTTCTTTTCTTTAGAAAAAGAATTTTTTCCCCTCCTTCCAAGCTGCATTTGCTTGTCTTCTCAGCGTGAGTGTTTAATCTTTTCAGGGCCTTCAGTTGGCCCAGTGAATGAGCTAGAAGCTCTTTCCCGCTAGGAGCTGGGGGCTTATTCTAAACCTCTAATCGCTGAGCAAACACAGCCGTGCTCTCCCCTCCTATTCTACAGGAGCCACAATGCAGCAGGACTTATTTTTCCCTTTTTTTTTTCCCTAATTCCCCCCTCCCTTACGTTTCAAATTTGGAATAACATGGATAAATTCAGGCCTTTCGGTCTGAAATGCAGAAAGGCGATGGTCGACCATATGAAGAGCAAGATTCAGAGGCAGAGATAAGAAAATCAGTGATTTTTGTTTACTAGATCTTCAGCTAACCCCTCCTGTCTATTTTTTTTAATTAGTTCTCAGTTTGGTGCATCCCGGGCTCATATTGCACATTAAATACCCCAGGATTTAGAGGTTGGGATTCGTCAATATTGTCAGCCTCCGATGCCTACCCGAACGGGCTGAGAAGGGTTATTGGCATTTGATGCAAAATAAATAAAGTGATTTGTTCCTTTTGTTTTCCTATCGGCAGCTTCATTTGAAGTTTTTTATTTGCTTTTTAGTTCACTGGCTTAACTGCAGCCTTTCCCATCGTCTGCCGGTGGTTTCGGGTGTGCGCTCTGCTGGGGTAGGCCGGAACTGCAGTGACAAGTTGAAACCTGCCAGCTCTGTCACTGCAGCCGATTTGCAGTGCCCAGAGTGCATCTGGGTGTGCTTGTTCTCTAAGTTGCATCTAACTTTTCATCTATAATAAAGTGTAGAATTTGACATTCCTTTGGAAAGAGTATGAAAGTTGACTCTATAGCTTATGCGTTTTTATTTTAACGTATGTTTGAGCTTTTGTTTTAGTACGGTCACTTTTCTCCTTACATTGCTTTGCACCTGACCCATTACCCAAAGCGCTTATGAAAAGGCAGTCTTAAACTAAAGTTTTCACGAACTTGATATGCCACTGTAAACCTTGTTATCAAAGCCCAAGTTCTTATTTTCAATGAGCTGAGAAGGTTATGATATAGGTAGTGGTGGCAATGTGCTCTACAATTGTAGAGAAAGTAAACCTACGCTTGTGACTTAGTCTGGCGACTTGTGCAGGTGTAGCTGCATGGTTGTCCTGCAGAGTTGCTGTAGGGCCAGCCTCACTTTTCAACTTTTCTTCAGTATTAGTTAAACTATACTTGTCTCTGTTTCCCACAGAGAAAGCTGCTTGCTATCTACCTGCACCATGATGAGAGCGTCCTGACCAACGTCTTCTGCTCCCAGATGCTGTGTGCCGAATCCATTGTCTCCTATCTCAGTCAGAACTTCATCACATGGGCCTGGGATGTCACTAAAGAGGCCAACAGAGCCAGGTAACATTAGCCCGACTTTATTTGTATTCTGTTTAAACTTACATACAAACAACTGAGAGGACTGATTGCTTTTTCTTTTACCGTCTATATATATTTTTCTAAATACTGCCTTCTGCTTGATCTAAATTGTTTATACATGTACTGTAGAAATATGACTGAATATTTGCCTAGTAGCAGTTTAACTATTCCAGAATGCAGAAAGGTTTGAGGAATTGAAATAAAAGTTGGACATAATTAATGATATTCTGGATTTTGTGTGTGAATGGATTTTTAATAAATTAACTCTCCAGCCTTACACTCAGGCTTCATTGACTGGACCCTGAATGTAAATTTTAGAGCGGAATCAATTAATAAAATCTGACTTGTATTGTATCTCTCACATTTTGGTGCTGTATTAGTGCATGATTTCCAAGACAGCCTCCCCCTTGCATGTTTAGAAATCATTTTAACATTACCTTCTGGAATGCAATAGTTTTCGAAAGGGAAGAATGAAAATAAATGGCAAAGCTGAGACATAAGTAATAGCGATCAGTATTTTCTTTGTAGGTGGCCATAAGATTTAATGAGCCACTGTTGCTAATTCATTGAATATAGGAGGTTAGAATAGTGCTGATCTCCACTGATCTGTTGTACTGGCTCTGGTAAGGTAACCCTGTTGACCTCAGGTCATCCTCTCGTCCCTCATTTAAATCTTTTCTTGATGGTACTTTATCCTCTGTAGTGGTTTCTCTGAGTCCATCTTAGAGTGTTAGTCCTGCGCAAAAAGAAGTATTCCTGGCCCAGTTCGAGCAGCATGTATTCAGAGTCTAGGTTGGATGTAAGCACAAGCTTATTCACTTTGTGAGTAATAATAATAATAATAATAATAATAATAATAATAATAATTGCTTACACTTATATAGCGCTTTTCTGGACTCAAAGCGCTTTACAGGTAATGGGGACTCCCCTCCACCACCACCAATGTGCAGCATCCACCTGGCCATAGTGCACCAGAACGCTCACCACACACCAGCTATCAGTGGGGAGGAGAGCAGAGTAATGAAGCCAATTCATAGATGGGGATTATTAGGAGGCCATGATTGGTAAGGGCCTCCTAATAGTAGCAGTGTCATTTGCAAATCAGATTAACATAAAAGGTAATACTGTAAAGTGTTGTGTACACGAAACCACTAAGGAGTTTCAAGAGTCCTTGAATGGCTTGCTTTGATAGTAGAACATTAGGAAATTCTCTTTTTAAAAAGCTTGATAAACTTAGCATGGCAAAAAAGGGCTTTTCAGATTTACAGACTTACACTCTGTGAGCCTAGGTTTTGTATGTCCAAAGTTATTAATTTAAGGATTTGAATGAAGGCTGAATGAAATGAAATTCCAGCAAGGGAATTTTTCCAACTTGGAAAAATCACTTACCCATTATACATAGTATGTCGATTACAGTATACCAATTGCATTGAATATTAAGGGATTCCATCATTTATTTAATCTCTCCTGACTTTAATGGTGAAGACAGAATAATATCTGAATGATGTACAAGTTCTGTCACTAGAACTACATAGATGGACTGTAAATACATCAAATGTTTGATTCCCAAAGCAGTTTTATGTGCAGAAAACCACAAAAAGTACCCTTTTAACAATATTTTCTAATGGGATAAATAAAAGGCCTGTGCACAGAAATAGGACTGTATCAAGAAATATTTCATTAACAGAACCTGAGTGGTTATAGTTTGTACTGTAGAGCTATTACCTGCAGGTGCAATGCATTGCTCCTTGTCTTTGCACACCTCAGGAACAGCAGGTCATGTCCTCTCACCAAAATCCCTATGTCATTGGAAGGCACTGAGATTGTGAGGACGGCTGCTAATTGATCAAAGGGGCTCCTCCAGGCAATCGCCACCCATCCCCCTCCCTCCTGTCCCCCTCAGGTAATTAACTGCCCTCTCGATGGCTGACCCCTTGCTAGAGCCCTCACACTGCCTGGATACAAACCGCTTGACCGTGCCGAACCCGACCCCCTCCCCCTACTCCTAACCCCCCACTACCAGCAGAATAGAACAGAATTCCAGCCCAGGTGTGAGCTCTTAGTGTTGGCGCTAGCTTGCCCTTTCTCCCGCTGTTGAGAAAGGCCTGGGCTGCAGGCAGTGGCGGAGACAGATGGAAGTTTGATTGTGTACCAGCGGCAAGTTTGGCTCAGGGGCATGTTAAGCTGAGCGGCTTTTTTTCCACTAGGATACACCTCTAAGCCGCCCCCCATAAGGAGGCGTTTAAGAAAGACGGGAGTTAAGACACTGAACCCTTCTTTCCTCCCTCATTCTTTCCTTTTTTACACCGCTCCAGCTGAGCCATTTTCCTGCAGATTAAAGGCAGCCAACATCTGGGGCTTTTCCCCTTTACTAAACACACACTTATGCACACAGATTGCCGCAGCAAAAGCTGCTTCTTGTGCAATTGTTCGCCATCAAATCACGGTGGTTAGAGGGCTGCACAAGTTCACAGAGCCTACATCTGGAGGTTGCTTGACCTGACAGCTGGGTGTTGCTCTTGGCATTGAGAGTAAGGCTATGAATTAAATATTACAAACAAGCTTGCTTTAACTTGCTGATTGCTGTCGGTTTTGCTATGAAAGAGACCCATAGGGAAGCTCAGGTTAGGTGGGGGTCATATTTTATGTAATTGTTGGGCTGTTTTGTAAATACTTACACAACGCTTCAAATTACCATACTATTACAAATAATAGTCATAGATGTCAAGTTTTTATTTGGTCCAAATGCAACTATTTAAATTTGGAAAGTGTTTGTTTTTATTCAACTTTACACCAACAAAAATACATGATGTATCATTAAACTTTTTTGGGAATGCTGTGATTGGCACTGCAGATAACTTGTGTGAGGAATCATACCTGATTCAAAGAATAATCCTCTGAACCTTCCACCAGATTTCTCCATCAGTTGTACTCTTAAGAATGTTTTGAATTCCCTTAGTAACAGAAGTGAATAAAAGACAGCTTTATAAACCAGCTGGTTCAATGCATTTTAAATAGATGTCTATCTACCAAAACATATTTGCATTGTGCTCATACAGCACTCGTGCTTTAGCACTGCATTAAATTGGTGATCTTCAGGCATGTGCAATAGAATTGCAATGAATTCATCACCCAGAGATGTATCTCTAGGTAAACACTATAGGAAATGTAGTAGAAATGTATTAATCTAAGAGTTTCTGAGTTACTTGCTTAACCGTATACAAAGTGAAAAGCCTTTTTCTTACAAAGAGATCCAACAAATAGAGAAATATTTATACTTGGCATTTGAAAATGAGAACCTTGAGTGCTAATACAATCCAGTACATCCCTTCATTTAGTCAATGATTTATTCTTGGACCACATCAAACCTGTTTATAAAATGTTTCCAATGGTCAGTGATTCCCTGTGATTTGGTACTTCCTGCTACCTTGTGCCCTTGCAATACCATAATGATTTAACCTCTTCAATTAGTTAATGGGGTGTTTGATGTTCATAGCCTAATCTACTTGTTTGTTGTGGGACATTAAAATTAATTTTTATTAACACAGCAAGGTTAAATATCATGGCACTAATGACACTTTGGTATAATGAACTGGTACGGGTGCACAGGCTGGAAGCTCATCAGGTAGATGATAAGGAAAATGGCAAAGCTTTCCTTAAGGTCTGCCTTTTTCTGAAATGCAAATACTCAAATTAAACTCAACTTCAGTTTGCTAACTAAAACTATACTCATTTGAACAAGTTTTGTTGCCACTCATTTTATTCTTGATTCTTGAGGAAAGCAGATTTTATTTGCTGAAGCGTTGTTCATGTCCTTACTGAATAACTAAAATTACTACGTGCAGTACATTCACAGTAGATTCTGATTTTAGGAAACTGGAAATCTTATATAATACCGCAGTCCGATTTTGGGTAATTTTGTTAATTAGTGTGGATATAATTATCAGAATCATTGGATTTCAAATCATTTCCTCTTTCAAATCGTGTAATGGAATAACCATTGATACCTCCCTTTTCATGTAATTTGAATTTTAGGGCATTACAGTTTTTCTGCGTCCGTAAGACTTTCTAGCAAGCGTGTTTGACACCGGTTGCTGTGTCAGATAAGTGACGAATCAGGAGTGCTCTTGAAGAACCTAACCAACGGGCTTTCTTCGGACGCTTGCCTTTGAGAGTTGTGTCAAATCCCATGCTCTTGTGCAATCTCAGAAGAGCTCTGGGGACCTGATGGGGACTAAGGCCTTACGTAATGAGTGTAATAGTGTTGGGTTTCACACAAGCCCCCGGCAATTGTTCCCATCTCCTAGTCGACTGGTTAGAATTACCCCTGTGTATTGTTCTGGACTGGCCCCTGTCAGACTTGTGCTAACCCTCAAGAACAAGAGGAAGGATTAAAGAGGGAGATCGTCTCAATAGGCAGGCCTTGGCATCTTCATCAGTTTAGAAAGCCAGGGGTGTGTTTTTCAGCCAGGTACTTAATTGGGCACCCTCTCTTTAACCTCCTGCTTTGGACTGCCTCAAGGGGTGATTGACACTAGTTTATTTTTGCTTCATTCACTTTCTTCAAAAGGGGAGGGATTGTCTTTTAAGAATATAAGAAGCACTGTAGTCTCTGTGTTAAGGATGTACTTTCTAAGCCAGTAAGAAAGGCCTGAGGATATAGATTTTCAGAACATCCTTTGTGTAATTTAAAAACAAAAAAATTATTTCGCAGTGACATAATGTACCACGTACTTTTAAGTTAATGTCTCACTATGGAAAAGTATACAAAATTAAGAAGTGTTTTATGGATACAGACATATGTTCAGGCTGTCTCAGTGGTAAATTGAGTACATTTTTGATTCTGCTTACTTTAAAAGAGTATTACATTTTCAGGCTCTTTGGCTAGGTGGGCAGGTTAGTTCCTTTCTGGGGGGTAGGATTGGGCTGCAACACCTTTTCTGCTCGAGTCCTTTACAATATCATTTTAACATAAATCATTG